GTTACTTTCTTCATGCCTTTTCAGAAAATAGTCCTCTTCAATGTTCAAGTTGTATGCAGTTTGTCTGATTAAATTTTATTTATTCACGCAATTATTATTGTTACTGTAATTAAGTTTTGTTTTTGTTTTTTGTTTTTAAATGGTATTAATACAAATATAGCAGGAGTCAACAGCTACTGTTATGAACTGTTTTGAACCTAAGTTTGCATATGTAGATACAATCCTATTAATGTGAGTAAACCAATGAAATTCAAAATGAGTAATGCAATGGAAAACAGTTCTACTGTTTGTAACTGTAACTTCTTCTAGTCACTACTGCCTCTCTGCCTGAGAGCATGTGTGTGTGTGTGTGTGTGTGTGTGTGTGTGTGTGTGTGTGTTTGTGTGTGCCAAGAAATAATTGCTCTCACTCAGTAAAACAGAAAAGGGAGTGGAGATAACTTTGCCAAAGGGAAACTGTAGTCAAAAATACTCAATATTATAAAACTTTCCCCTTTAATTCAAATGCATTATTGCTATAAAGACAGCTATGTTTTGTTAGTGACAGTGTATGTACGTATATGTATATTTTCTGTGTATTTCTCTCTACTTGCTGCTCATGTCCATGTCAACCCACTTAACACACAAAATAAAATAGCTCCCACTTATACATCAACGAGAGGGGTATCTTATCTACCCAACTCCAATGCTCATAAATTAACTCACTCACACACACTCGCAGCTATAATTCAATGAAAAGAGGGAAAAATCTATAACCCAACACTAAAAGCACACGGTTAACTCATCCACACACACTTTCCAGCACAGCAAAATAGGAGCTCCCCTTAACACACAGTCAAAACACTTATGATAACCAACACATAGACAGACTAACACAAAAACTGGTAATTTTTCCTAATATAATAATCAGTAATTTACTGGCAGTCACTTCAAGGAGTACAGACAATAGTTGCTCGTTTGTAATAAACTCTCAAAGCGCTCCGCATATCATACCCCGACCTGTAACAGAACAGATTTCACGCCTCCAGCTGGAATATCTAATTCTGTCAGGAAGTTTACAGGAAAAACGGTATTACAATATGTGAGGAAAGTTCTTTTATTTGAGAAGAGAAGACTAATAAAAAGATATATATACTTCACTATGTGAAATTTATTATGCATTAACGTATCAAAATTAGCATGTATACATGGATCTTCACTGTTTAGGATAAAACAGAAAAGACTGTCCTCAACTTAGTGGTATTCAATATTTGTACGAAAAGGTGCTACTATCTAATTGGTCCAAAACTGTTGGGGAGAAGCTGTGGTTTAGACTTAACTCTCCCGTTATTGGTCCTTCAGTCTGTCCGTTCTCTCTACTCCAATCGTCGTGGACAGCCTCCCCGAAAGGAGGAAGAATACCTGTACTACTTTAATTCCTACATACACACTCACTTCTTCCTTTGTTTTCACTTAATTAAAACTGTTCTGCCTGGGTGTGTGTGTGCATAACTGTTCTCCCTTTGAAGCTCTCTCATCTACGTCTAATCTATTTTAATAAACCTGGAGTCTTACCGTACCAAGACTCCTTTGGGTCCACCGGTCAAGAGGAACGATACGTAACTATGAGCTCCCTTAGCTACAGCCATAAATCTAATGAAATTCAGTAATTTAGTGGACAAGACTTATGATGTTGCATTAGTGTTTCAGTGACTCACACAGCAAATATTTGACCAGTGGTTAAGTGAACACATATAGTGATATTCATAACTATATAAACATATCTGTGACATATAAGTATGTAAACTTATGTGTGCTATAAAATAAAACCATTCTTAAGTGTATAAAATAAAAATCACCCTAACACTATCTGGGCTTTTCACAACAGCAGAAATACAAGGATTGTTCTATTTTTGTAAACAAATCTGGATTTTGTATTATCTAACTGTAACATTAGTGCATACCATTCCCCACATTTGGCTCATGTTTTTGTTCTGACACCCCACAGATGGTTTGATATGAGAACAAGCGGCTTTGATTTTATAGGAAACAACTCAGATTACTCCAATTCTCAAAAGAAGGTAATACACATGGGGCCACTCAGCAGAAACCCTTTATTCTTTTTTATACACATAAAAAGCTATAATTCTAGCCTTTAGTGTAATCTAATATTTGGTGAACAGCATGTACAATATAAAAGTAAGCTCTCAATAGCCACGTCTTCAGTGTCTGGTTCAAGTTCAGTCTGAGTGCAACAATAGAGTTTCAAGTTAAGGCTGTCACATAATGCTATTTAAAAAAAATCATGACAAAGTATCAAACACATTTCAAAATGCAAAACTCCAATTGCAGAAAGGTGATTGGCACAAGATCATTACAATTAAGAAACATTTAACAAGAGCTCAAAGTTTTGTTACATGTGCAAAGAAGCAAAGGTTGTGTACATCACTGTGAAAAATAAAGATGTTGATTCTAAGTGACACCTCAGCCCCTACACCACCTGACAAAGGCAGCGCGGGTTTCATTCTCAGCTTGGCAGTGTGGCTACATTTCATCTGCTAACATCTGCACTGCAAACCAGCTTACAAAATAAGGTAAGTACAAAATTTAATAAAAAGTACCATACTCTACAACAACCACTGTTACAGCTTTTAAATGTAACTAAATACTTTCACAAACTCTTATTACAGGAATGAATTCTGCCATTTATAAACTGCCATTTCTACAGCTGCTCTGTGAACATAGTGCAAGTGCATCACTCAGTCAGGCACCTTCAGCTGCTCAATACAGACAAGAGATTTGCTCATACGATGTAACCATCCATCCATCATCTTCCACTTCATCCGGGCTCAGGTCACATAGGCAGCCAGTTCAGTCCATACATGCCTCTCCAGGGTAATGCTTTCCAGCTTTTCCTGGCGAATGCTGAGGTGCTCCCAGGCTAGATGGGATATATCAGCTCTCCAGCTTATTAGGCCAAGTGTAGACTCAGAATACCAATTGGATGTGCCTGGAAAACCTCCAATGGAAGGCGCCCAGAAGGCATCCTAATCAGCTGTCTGAACCACCTCAGCTGGCTCCTTTCAACATGAAGGAGCAGCACGTCTACTCCGAGCTCCCTCCGGATGTCCAAGCAGCGCATCCTATTTCTAAGGCTGAGTCCAGCCACCTTACGGAGGAAAATTATTTCAGCCACTTGTATTCACAATCTCATTGTTTCAGTCAATACACCAAGGCTCACAGCCATGGGTGGGGGCTGGAAGATAAACTGACTGGTGGATTGAGCCTTCCAGCTTAGCTCCTCTTCACCACAACAGTTCAGTAACAACGACTGCATTAGGACTACTGTTGATGCTGCCATCACTTGTGAACAAGACCCCGAGATACTTAGAGTTCTTCACTTGGGGAAGTGACTCACTCCAACCCAAAAAAAAACAATTCACCTTTTTCCAGCAAAAAACTGAGCTTCACACTGGATTCTCATCCCAGCTGTTCATGCTCAATTGCAAACCACCCACAGCACATGCAGGAGGTCACTGTCTGATGAAGCCAAGAGAACCAAAAAAGCAGAGAAGTAATTCTGACATCCTCAGAGCAGACACACCCCTCCCCCTGGCTATTCCTTTAGATCCTGTCCATAACAATCACAAACAGGACTGGAGACAAAGGGCATGAGCACAACACATCTCATACTGCGTAACCAAGTTCTACATTCTTGTGCGGATCATGTTTAGCATAAATGTAGTAAGCAAGAGGTGTACATTACAAATAATGAATAAAAACAGATTATGGATGAATAATTCTTTACAGCTTGGACATCACATTTAATGTATTTAAACTATATGGTGTTACAATGGTGTTATAACTTAGTTTTGCTTGGATGTAAAAAGACTGATCATATGTGCATCCTGTGTCCTACAGTATACATTGAATTGTGGCCACTAGTTTGATGAACACTTTATGGAGAAGGCTAAAGATAAACAAATTATAAAGTGAAGGGGAACAGGTTCACTACCAACACAATAGGTTTTTGTTGTTGTTGTTTTGTTTACATTTTGGGCTCTAACTCCTTCCCAGAACAAGACTCAGGGCCATCAGCCACACAGAGTAGCAGCTTGTGAAGGTAGAACTGCTGCTGGAAGGTTGTGTTGTGACCGGTTGTGTTGCGTCTGGTTGTGTTGTGACCGGTTGTGTTGCGTCTGGTTGTGTTGTGACCGGTTGTGCTGGCTGGATGTCTCTGTAGACATTTGTCATAAATGGTGATGACCTGTTGGTAAAGTGTACTGTTGTGCTGAAGAGATCAATCTGGAAGTGAGATATTGTGTCAGTTAGACAATGTGAAGCACTTTTACAACATTTACTGTGCTGCACAAAAGAACAACTCACCAAATCTTTGCTGACTTGGATAGGATCCTTGAACACCGTCCAAACCACAGCCTCATTGCACATGGGTGTGGTCAAGGATCCAAGGTATCGATAATACTTGGTACGATTCACCCCGACCAGGAGGTCGTCCAGAGAAATCCCAGGTGCCATAAGAGTAGACTCACCTGAGGACAGAAACACAACCTCTGAAGGACTGTAGCTGACATGTTATTACAGGACAGTGAAGCAAATTTCACAAAGAAAACTGAAAAACATCTTCTTACTTTTGTGTGTGATGTTGGCCAGGTAGGAGGTCAAGGTGCGCCAGGCTGCAGGTTGGCCAGTTGCATTACCTGGCATTACCTGGATAAGTGTATGTTGTTTAATTAGGCTTTAATCAGGCTTAGATGATTTAGGTGTTTGTAAACAGAACATTATAAGTGATGGAGCTGCGTGAAAGTTGAAAGAGGCATTTGATTTAATGCAATAAGCAGTTATGCAGCAAATCTTACATGCATCTTTTCTCACCTCAATGAAAAAACCAAGAGCAGCAATTCCTGTGGAGTCTGCAACAGCAAGAGTTGTGTTCCGACTATAGGATGACTTGCTGTTTTCAATGAGTAACTGGGGGAGTGAAGAAAAAAAAATTTATTGAAAAAAATATTTTTTATTTCAAAGTTAAACAAAAATTATGTACAGATACCGGCCTCAGACAGACCCCCTCCTGAAACCCTAACACCACTTCCAATGGTGACTCTGACTGGAAGACATTTAAAAACAGGATGGACTGCTAAATCAAAACTGATGAGAAACAGGACAAAAGCATCAACATGGCTGGATGTTGGGGCCAGGGCGAACAAAAAGATGATGACAGTATAACTCCAGTATAATCATTTTGGTGTTAAAAAATTCCTATCTACACATCTGTCTGAGACACCACCAGAGGAGGAGTCAATATTGGCATTACTCAGTACCACAACTCATGCAGAATGGTATAGTTCACATTAATGTATATCATATTAGTGGATCATAATTATAAATGCAGTGTTATTTTATCTCATTTAATGTTGCAGCTGGTAGAGACGGAGCTCATTTTAATTACCTTATATGTTTAGAATTTGAACTACTGCTGAGGATCACTAAAGGTTACAGTATTTAGTTTTATTGATGTGATTCTGAAAAGTAACTAAAGTTATCAGAAAACTATAAAGAACAATATCTGTCTCTAAAATGTAGTGAAGTTGAACTAGTAAGTAGCAGAAAATGAAAATACCAAAGTAAGCCTCAAAATTGTACATACAGTAAGTACAGTACGTGAGTAAATTTGGTATCACATAACACAGTAGAATCAAATATCAGGCCCAACTTAAGCGGTTTTCGGTTCACACCCATCCCTCACTTGTATAGCCGCTGTTTAGGATGGTTTTCAGTGCAGAGGTGTTGTTGAAGTTTTGAAAGGTGAACGGAGTCAGGGTGGCATTGGGTTGGGCAGATGCTGAGACAATGTTAATGGGTGACTGGTGAATGCCGCTGCAATAATTTGGAGCAATGATCGGCCAAGTGGAGTCATCTGTAAACACAAATAAGACTCTGAATAGTTAAAGAGGAGCAGATGTTAAGACGACACTGCAGTCACTTAGAGGATAGGGAGTAGAGCTAAAAATAAGATTACTCACTGCAGTTTGGCTGATGATAACACCAGCCTGCTGAGAAGGACAAGAGCACCTTATTATCACTTCATTACAAAAACTCTTCATAGAGACTCAGTGTTTATCCAACAAGTCAGTATCTGAAATGAAAAAAGGCTCAAATACCTACCGAGTGCACAGTGGACGCTGGGAACGAGGGCGCACACAACAAACACAGCTGCTACAAGATGGCTCATCTAAAATAAGGGAGAAAAAAGGTCCGGCCAATGTATTCACCAAAAATAATGACCACATTAAATCTTAGATAAGAAAATGCAAATATCTGAAAAAGATCAGCTTATTTAAATGTCTTTAGTGGATTTCAAATTTACACAAAAAAGCCAAAACCTTGTGTTAGTTAAGTCCCTAAGCGCACATTTTAAATAGGCTCCATCAATATTTTAAAACCAAATCATCACAAACTAATGCAAATGTTAAACTTCTACAGCTTATCATGGGAAAGAACAACAACAAACAAAAAACAAAACAAAATAAAATAAAAACAGATTTTGTTTAATACAAATTCTTTCTGCTGCAGCTAAATCCAGGTGTCATGAGCAGCATGGTGTCTTACCTTTAACATGCCTGTGCCTCTTGTCTGTTAACAGCTGTGGAGACATCCCTCTTTATAGTCAGTCAGCTCATCCAGCACATTATCTGAATCCGCCTCTTTCTCATTCAGCCACTCCTTTACCTTTACATGAAAGAAGGTGACCAACAAAGGAGGGTGTTTCACAGTTTGATTAGACTCTGAATATAGCCTAGTAATTAACAGATTTGTGACTAATAACAGGAAGCATGACCCTATGGTTGTTACATATATAAAAATATTAAACAGTCCAAAAAAAGTGAGGATTTTTGAAAATATCATTTTTAAGACTCAAATTTTGTATACATTTCAAGTGTTATTTGGAAGTGCTAAAAGTTGCATCATCCTAGAAAGTCTCTTTTAAATGGAGAGGGAAAAAACAATGTAGGCTATTTATTCAGGCTATAAACAATACAGGCTAGTGCTGCTTTATGCAACAGGACAAAAGGACATTTTATAAGGCTCTGCAGATCTCAAGTACAAAAGTGTTTTGAATTTCAAGGTGCGTGTTTAGAGGAGCCCATGAGACCAGTTCAAAAGCTCAAGAACTTCACTGGCATTTGATTAAACAAAAACCAGGGTCAAATTCCGGACAAATGGATTTTTCAGTCATACTTCCTGATCAATAAGTCCTCCAAATTAAATAGTACATCATTGGTTCATGCTTTCCAGAGCAAAATATGTGTTTTTGATATTTTTGTTTCTAGAATCTCTTTTCAGCTGCTAGCTGTTCTGCCTCTTTGTCTGTCTGCGATGCAGTCACGTGAAACAAAAGACAAATTTCCCAAAAGGCACAATAAAGTGTGTTCTATTCTATTCTACGCTATGTTCAGCCAGCTAGTCACCAAGGTTGGCTGCCATTTGGTGCTGTGCAGGTGGGTCGTTTGAGTATTTTCATCAAAAAACCACCAGATTCTTCTGTACAGCCACGAGGCAGTAATTCTAGCTGGGATTAACAAATATCAGTCCATTGTGGACGCTTCTGAACTAGAGACTTGACAAAGGTACAAAATGTACAGAGCAGGAAATAGTAATGTAACAACATTTCAAGGAGGAGTTCTGGGTGGGCGACAGGGTGTACAAAGCATGTGACATTGTTATTTCAAATCCTTACATTGCATAACTTTTATGGACAGACAGACAATCAGACCAGGGGGTGAAGAAAATCAGAAGTTTCCATGTTACCTGAGTAAAGTGAAACCTTCAAAACCAATTTCACTGGATGTATAATTATGCGTCAAGACCTCATTCCTTTATTGCTACCCTGTCATTATGTGTTCTTCTATAAGCTCACTGTGACAGTGCTGCATATACAGCAAGAATGCCAGTTTTCTGATTCCTTAAACCTCTGAGCAGACATTTTAGCTTTCTTCACATCACCAACTGAGTATGGCAGTTTGTAATAGAAAATTACCACAAATACCTGGGAAATCATCAGCAGTTATCTTGTTTTACTGGAGGATAGGCTGCTTGTAATAGGCCTACTCACAAAGGATCACCTTCAGGCCAAAACACAGCTATGCTTCCAATAAGTGAAAGCTATTGAAAAAAGAAATCTGATTACTTATAGGAGGCCACAAGCAAAGCGATTGTGTGGAAAAGCAAACAGTGATTTAATGATAACAATGGGTGTAGAGAAAAGCAGGTAACTGAGACACACTCAAGTAACAAGAGAACACTATGGACACTGAGTACATTGACTGGTAACCTAAACACAAGGGCTGACTGTCAGAACAGTCCAAAAGGCTGGTGGCACCATGCAATACAGGTAATATGACAATATAGGTTGGCTCAGCCAAATATGACAACACAGGCACATAAACAACAGAAGTGCTGCAGATAAGTGTCACTTAGCAGCAATGTATATGAGACAAGTCTTTCAGGTTTGTCCCCCAGCAGATGGGAGCCTGGAGAGCAGGCAGTTCGGTGGGTTCAGGAGGACCACCACGGTGGCCACTGGACCAGACAGGAAGTAAAAACCGCTCTAGGGTTTGTAGGATTATGGCTCTTGTTACCATTGCTAACTCAGAGACGAGACAGTCCAAGTAACTTCAAAACAGTGCTGATTTATTCCATGAACACAGGTAAAAATTAACATTACACGCTCAGGTATCTTGTACCTCCAAACTGCACGCAGGCAGATGTAAGATGAAAGACCCTGAACCCACCAGCCCTATACATTATATCCCCTCGGTTGGGCTAGCCCCATACTACACAGAAACGTCAACCGAGACGTCTCTGTTGCCAGCTCTGCAGCTGGCCATAGGGGTAGTGTAACTAAAAACATTCTCACAGAGTTCTAGTACATGTCGTGATATTAAACATAAGAACATATTATGACTAAGGCTACAGTTATACACGTCATAATAATAATATTAAACACCCTGTCTGCTGACAGTCATCAACTCTTCTCTCTAGTTATCCTTGACCAGATGTACCCTGTAGAAACTCATAAGCATGACTAAGCATTTAACAGTCTAACTAGACATCCTATCTCCACTAAACATTTCTAATACATAAAGTATCTATCCAATTTCTATCTGACTAAAAATACCTAACAGGTTGATCAGGGTGGCGGCCTCGGAACCAGACTGTAAGCTGGGGCCATTCAGGGGGACCCGATGTAGACTCACCGCAGGTCTAACATATGGGTGACCAGGAGAAGAATGTTGTACAAACTGAATGAATATGGCACACGTGGGGAAAATGAATACATATAAACCACTTTTTTTAGTCCACATAGTCAGAAGGGTTCACCAAAGGGTCTGCAGTACCAGAGAACTGGGTCATCACTTCACACAGTGTGCAGTTTATTTCTCATCCCTGCACAGTTTTCATTACACTAAACTTTTTAAAATTAAGTTGAATTTTAATTTAAAGTCAACAGTGTGAGATAATTGCAGATAATTACTGCATGTACATTATAATATATTATATACTGTATATCTCACAGTCTCACAGATGGAAACTGCATGAAAAGGCACAGAGACAGGCCAGCAGCAGGAGAAGTATGATGGGCCCGGCAGCACTGGATGTTGATGTGCTGGCGTAGATTGTCCTCCCATTAAGAGGCTGAGTAGGCCGAAACACATCTTGATACTTTGTCTGCACTGGAAACATCTTCATCTGGTGGGTAAAAGCAAATGTTAGCTTTCATTAAAGACAAGGTCAAGGTCAAGGTCAAAGTGTTTATTTGTCATATGCACAGATGGAACGATTACAATGACCCATAACCTTTTCAAGCACATATGGGCATGTAGTTATAGTTTAATACAAGCAAGAACTGAAGCTAGCTACAGCACAGGTCAAGCAGATCATCATCAGATCGTGAACGTCACCAGATTGTCTCTGCTTACACAGCGTTCAAACCTCTAGGCCAGTCTTCATTCATGTTTTGCTAACCTGACAATTTCTAGGTGGAGCTTGGTGAGGATAGGTTTACCGCTGGTGAATTTTGTTAGAATTCAAGCCTTGCTTTTGTCAGTGTGTTTTTCCCATGGACAGTCAAGTCTTTTTGTTTTTCCTAGATACTTTTTGTACTTACCTGGACTGCAGTTTCTACAGTCAGACTTTGTATAAAAGCTGAAGAAATAATCTACTTCCTGTTTGGTTTTATAGCATATGGGTCCGTAAACAAAAACCTTCACACTTTCCCCATGTAACCGGAGACTGGTGAATAAAAAGGCCTGAAATTCCTGCCTGTCATGGCGATTACAGAACTTACCTGTTGTTTACCTATTGCTAGTTGTTTATGCTGTTCATAATCTAGTTCAGGTAATTTTGTATAAAAACACTTTATATTACTGAGTTAAGAAATGTCCTTGAAAGGTTTGACATAGCAATGCTAATTACTGTCATTTGTCATTAACATTTCAAGGTCACTGTGGAACACCACCTCTGTTGATACATCTTCAACTTTACAGTGATGAGTAGCACGTACCAGGTTTGGATCCACTTTGATAGGCTCTTTAAAAACTGTCCAAACCACTGTTTCATTACACAGAGGGGTGGTCAAGGAGCCGTTGTAGCGGTAGTATGCAGCTCGGTTCACATTGCCAAGCAAGTCATCAATGGAGAGCTTTTCTGTCACGTTGACTTGTGAGCCTACATTGAAGCAAAAATAGACAAAATGTAGTGTTATTTGGGTGTTTACATTTAGTGGTTTTATGGCAATACACAACAAAGCAGGAGTGCACTCACTGATGTTCTGAATAGCTGGCAGGTAGTTGGTGAGTTTCGTCCAGGCTTCCGTAACAGAGGGACTTGATGTGGCACTTGGCTACACAAATAAATGGGATGAGCCATTTAGACTGTTTTGAAAATTTCCTGCTCAGAATATATTGCACAATATATTGAATATATTTGTATCATAACTACTGACTTTCTATCACATTGAACATTACCTCAATAAAGAATCCCAGTACTGCCAGGGCATCAGGAAAATGTGTTGCTTCTGTGAAGTCCTTCCTCTTGCTCACTATGTGCATCTGGACACAGCCACAACACACATACAGTATAAAGAAGCAAACTCTACTAGAAAACTGTATTAAATACAACAAGTCAGTAGTTCAATGCTTGTAGCTACCTCCATGGGGTATCTTTTTGAATCCACTGTATGTTCTGAACCCTCAGAGTGTGAAGATGCAGAGCCCCAGTGGAAGTGGAACTGAGAGGTGGAGTAGACGTATTGCAAATGTCCTCCTGACACCTCCACCATATTCTCCTTCAGTACACATGTCACTGGGAGTTGAGCAGGAAGATATGAACATGTAGAAATTGCATTTACAAACACAAAGACACATTTCACTCGGTTTTAATTAACAATTCTCTATAACCTTGACTTTTAACTCTAACACTGGTCTCTATCCATACCTAACCACAACCCAGGAAAACATTCTATAATAGGAAAGAAAACTTTCAAACCTGTATGGCCAGAGTTAATGATGTAGTTGATGATATTTTTGTTGTCAAAGTTTGTATATTTGAAGGCATCAAGTTGTTTGTTCATCACAACATTTTTTGTCTCAATGTTGACGGGTGACTGGCCTGTACCTCCACAGTAGGAGTGAGTCAGAAGGTGCCATTGAGACGTACTGTTCTCTGAGGGTAGAGAGGAAAACAAAGTTTAAGGCAAGTCCCAACTCTAACATCATTCTATGAACATCAGAGGAGCTCATAAAGACCAGTGTAAGACTAATGATGTGATCTGATTCTTTCAGTAAGTCAAAAACCAGCCCTTACTTACCGCACCCAGTATAGCACCATTTTTGTCCAGCATCTGAAACACAAACACAGCCAACATACTGTGAATACTGCAGGAGTAAAGTGATAAGAGAAAGCATCAAATGTGTGGCGTTAGAGCAGCATTCATCGGAGAAACCTTTACTAAAAACACATACTGAGCTACAAGCTGCCTGAGCTCCTTCAAAGACACAGTTTTTACTGACAGTGATGGTTGCAGCTCCAGATTTTGCCGCTTTTCACCTTCCTGTTACACTGAGACTTTATATTATTCCAGGATACAGAAGCCACCAGTGTTCTAAATTTTACAGCTATGACATTTCATGACTTCATTGGTTCCTTAAAATATCAGAGAAATGGAAAATCATAAAGTGATCAGTTAGGTATATAAAATGTCAGATTTCCTCATTTCTGTAATGTGCTAACATACTGTCAGTCAGTGATGATTGTGTAACTCCTCTCACTGGTTTTTATATACAACAGGAGAAACGTAACTTTGTACTGTCTCTCATTAAAACCCCGTCTTTGTGGCAATTATACTAAATTGCTGAAGTGATGCTGTCATGACAACCAACACCTTCAGCTATGTTTTGCTAGATTAAGACTTTCATTGTTTACTGAACATCTACCATTGCTCCTGTTTAAACAGTTTATTTTTGGGTTCAGAGGAAGATTATTCTACTACAATGAGATTTCTGCTCTATACTCTTTAATTGGTTTCATGACAAGCTGAGGTCCAAAAGAAACATAAATCAATATTTTTCAATAAGAGAAGCTGTGTTTAGAGCAATTTTGTTTTGTCCCTACTTCATTATTCATCTCATGAGTCCTTGTAAAACTTCAGAGGTTGTAAACTTCTAGGTTGTTAATCACTGAAATAAACTGTCTAGTTAAAACTACACAGCCACGACAGTAAAATGCTGCTCACACACTGCATTTCATCAAAAATCAAGTCATCAAATACTTAATAATACAGTGGTCCTGTGGGCTGGTTTTCTGCAGAATGAGTACTTCTGTACTTAAGTGCAGGATTTTTAAGGATAATTTGATGTATCTCGATTTTTACTTCAGAAAATGATCTGAGTACTTCTTCCACCATGGTAATCAATACAAAGGTTAAATAAACTAGCAGGGAAAAGATAGTATAGTCAATAGGTTTAATTAGTGCTTTTCCCCATTTATGTTCATTTAGATTAATTTTAGGTTGCTGTAAACACTCCTAGGCTGAAATTCAAGGAAGTGGGACACAGACATTTTATACAAATCACATCTTACTCTGAAAATGGAAACAGAAAGAACATAATACCAGAGAAAGCAGAAATAGGTAGAGCTGATTAGCACAAACATTTCATTTACTATAAGTGGAGACTGAAATATTTCACTTACCACAGTTTACAAAAGTCACCAAACTCAGGCACAGCAGCAGGAAGGAGAGATGCATCTTAGGAAATGAAAAGTGATTATCATCCACAAACACCATTAAATTGTGTGCTTTTGCTGTGACTGAAATCCCATTTAATTTTATTCAAATACCAAATATCTTAGGTCCTGCAAAAGCATCATAAAGGAAGATTAACATGAGATGTGTAATGCTGATTGGTTTCAAACTTCATTATTTTTTTATTGTGGAAATTCTCATTTATAAACTCAAAGAATGTCAAAGAAAGAAGCTTTGTAGAAGAATGCTACTCCACAGAATGTGAAAATCACCCTACCTTAGTGTCGAAGTCCCTAAAGCTTAAAAAATGGAATCTTAGAATGAAATGTTGCATTAAAGTTGTGCCCACTTCCATCTCCATCAGGAAGAAAAAGGTGGAGAGGTGTCCCAGTAATATAAGGCAGGAAGAATAGGCAGTGGGAGCGGGGGGCCCACTGTGTACACAACACTAAAATGTGTGGGGGAGACACCTACAGTAACCTAACCACGTCCTTTATTTCAGCTGTGAAATCTTTAAGGCAACAGGAGACTGTGATTTTCCAACCCATTCACCATATAACAGTCGCACAAAAACTGCACTGGATATTTGTTGCTTTTCAACATAAAAATCAACACACAGCATGTTGCAGTTTAAGTATAATTAAAAGCAACAACTGAAAAAATGTATGAAGGTCTCAGATTGAGGTTGAATTTGAAAATTAATCATGCGACCTTTGGAAATATACAACCCTGATAAAGCCACAACTTGCCCTGTTAGAAGAGAAGGAGGGGTAGACAGAAAAGCTTCATATCAGCTCAGGTGTTCTGTCCATGTCTACATACATTTTGGAAGTACATACTTGGAATTCATACGCATGTGAAACACAGGAACACAGACTTCTAGCATAACAATACAGGCGTAGTGCATGAGTAAAACACAGGCCCTTAGTGCACACAGCTTGTGTACAGCAGATACCTGAGATGACTAAAAAACAGCTTGTGTTTTTTGGGTAGAGTTTGCATAACATGTACTTCCCAAAACACTCAACTATGACTACAAGCTTTATAGTTTTCCATGAAAAAAGGATCACTTTCCACTGACAGAACCAAATGTCTTTGTAGGCTACGTGGTAATGTTTATTCTAACTCCTCCAAAGGAACTTTCCAAGGCCACATTATTAGAACCTGCAGACATACTGATGAGGAGGAGCAGTTCTTGTTTTGGACTACGAGAAATGCAATAAAGAAGCCTACTGTTGTCCCAGTGGCTGTCATTGTGATAGTTATGATTCCAACCTGACTAAAGTTTTTCAATAAATACTTAGTCCTTTGGGGAAAATTTTCTTGTCTTCACCATGAGCTGTTTTGCTAATATTCAAGAACACCATAACAGCTTCTGGGAACGTGACCCAGTAAGTACTAGGCTTCTTGTTGTGGCTTTCCACAGGACCAATATTTTGACATCAAATGGTCACTACTGGCCTGGTTCTGCCTCTTTGTTTATTCAACAATACACTAGAGATTTTTTCTTTCTTGTCAAGTCACTGATAAATAAATAAGAATGTGTTTTCCTTTGACACAGATCCTTAGCTGAAACCCTCCCAGCAAGAACCAGCGAGTTGGAGAGCTCAGAAGGGTTTCGCTGAAACGACTTTGTGCTATTTACTAATCAGTACGTCATTGGTGGAAAAGCCGGCCTAAATTTTAGTTGTTTTTTTTATTTTTTTTTATCTTGGGATTGGAGACAACTTGATAATAAAAAATCTACATTACAAACTGGAGATGTGTGGAGTTTGAAAAATGTGTATTTACCAGGTAAGGCGAATGTAATAAAATACTCAAATTGCATCATGGGAAATGTAGGATCTAGTGTTTTTTTTAAAAATAACTGATGTTAGGAACTACAATTCAGGATATTTCTGACTATTAAGCTTTGATTTTGACAATGTTTTTAAGGTCTCTCATTAGGCCCTCAACTTTATGGACTTGCAACACTAAATTGCTGAAGTGACTGCGTCATGACAACCAGCATCTTCACCTAGGTCTTGCTAAATGAAGGCATTCATTGTTTGCTATAAATGTACACCTACAACCTTTCCTGTTTAAATCAGTTTATTATTATGAATGATTCATACTTTATGTCCAATAAGCTAAAACAAAAAGCAACTGTTGCAGTTATAATGGTACTATAAGCATTTTAATGCTACATGAGTGACCACAGGATTTATTTTCATCCGTCTAGTGCAATCATGCAGACTCCTGTCACAAACACAGGACTATAAACATTTTTGCCCAACTGAAACTGGTTTACAAAAACCTTAGGCTAGAAATGTATTATCAGCCATTTAGCATTGAGAAAATAGTGGATGCTTCCTTAAATGAAGGAAATGTAATGCTACAGAAGGAATATTTCAGCTTTCGGTATGAGGTTACTTAAAAAACCAACATATAAAGATGTTTTTGTGTTTGTCAGCTGACACTCATGACATGCTCCTGTGGGAGTTGTCATGTTGCTGATGAAGTATAAGCAGCTAAGCAGGATCAAATCTGAACACAATGGGTAAATCCCAGTTCCCTCACCTGCATCTTTTACTTGTGTCTTACTCCCACTCGTGTAAGATGTAAGGAAAGGATGCAAGGGAAGAGGAATCAAGGAAATACATTTATACAGTCTACATCCTTTCCTCTGATTCTTCATCCTCCAACATCCTGTCATTAAGTGATTTCTGATAAAGGGGCATGTTGGTCCAAAAAGAATTCTGGATATTCTTCTGTATTTTCGCCCATGGCTCTTCCAGCAGCCTCCTCAGTCCTCACTCCTTAGAGCAGAAATAAGAGCTTTGGGACATCCTTCGAGATGGTGGGCCTGAACAACTTCCAGGTTAAGTGAGGAACGAGGAACTATCAAATAAAGGATTTGGGATTTAATCTGTGTCTTATGTAACCACCAAGTGGCATCAATGGGCTCCAGGGTGGTCAGAGCAGAGACGCAACAGTCCTGTAAAACAAAGACCGGGGCATGAGGGGACAAAAGGCTGCTGCAGTGTGTTCCTACCTGCTCTTGTATCATTAAATGTATTGTGTGTGAGAAGGGAGAACTCTTACTGATAGAGGGACCCAGTCAGCTCATCAATGAGGCCTCCTGAAAGAAAAGCAGCACAAACAAAAGTTAAGACAGACCAAAGTTTCAAAACGTATAAATAAAATGGTACAAGCACAGTACGAGTCATAATTACTTGTGTTTACCTGGTGTGCAAATTGTGTCACACAGTATGGGGCAAATGTAGCAGGATGAGCATCCCTGAAAGACGGCAAAAGACAACATAAGCAGGGTCTTGTTTTAAGGAAATGTGTATTGTTTACAGCATGTTAGAGTTATAAGATGCTTACTTGGCAGTGCTCACAGTGATCGGACTGATCTCCCTCTTCACAGGGGCAGTTGTCACAGTTATTAGAACAGTGCTACAGAGGGTGGGCACCCACAATTGACAGTAATGATCAGTCGTTTAGCATTTAGCTTGTTTGATAATAGCACAGACTATTCATCACTGGATGGATAAAACATTACTGAAGCCTCGTACTCCCATCACATTGTTTTACCTCACAGATGGAGCAGACACTACACAAAGAGCCAGAGTGGAACTGCAGCTTGTCAGTGGCGGCCTCCTCTTCACTTGTGTCGTCCTGGTTTTCTGTTGTGTCATCACCTTCAGGCTCATCTATGTAAAGTCACCAGAGTCAACGACAAATCAGACCAATATACCAACCAATGCTAGCTCATCGCAGGCACTGTGTGTGTGTCGATGTCAGCTAGTAAGTACAAAAATCCCAAACTAGGTGTGAGATCATTTAGAAACAGTGTCACTATTACATTTTGTGTTGTTGTTTAATTGATGTCTGAGGCTTTTGAGGATGTAAAACTAAGTGAGCATGAGACACTTGTCTTGTTTGACAACTGACAACATTGAAGCAATCCCTGACAGATGAAGCCATGCTGTTCTGTGCACATTATATATAGTGTTTGCACAGTAAAGCATAAAGAATGGTGTATAAAAACAGCGATCAACAAGCTCTCCCTTGGTCAGTTGTTGGTAAGCAACTGTTGCAATATGAATATTGGGGTTAGCACTTTAACAGTGCTTATGTATGGGGTCTAAAAATAGTCACATTAGTGCAACAAAAGGCATGAATGATTTAGATATTACCAGCTACCGAGCAGATAAGCCACTCTATTTTAAGACTGATATGTGTGACAGTAGCTACAGTCCCACAATAGCTGCAGTTAGTCTAACAATGCCAAAAAACAAGAGTTAAGATTCACCCAGAAGGGCCAGGTCAGGGAAAATGACATTTTGTTATCATTACCACTTCTAAATTACTGCAGAGTTTAATACTTTGAAACCCATAAATACTTTTAAAACTCAGATGGGAGTGTATACCATCATCTTCCTCTGCAACCTCTTCATCAGAGTCATCACTATCACTATCATCCTCTTCCTCTTCACTTTCAGCTTCCTTATCAGCATTAACCTCGTCATCCTCTTCTTCACCCTCCTCTTCCTCATCTGTAGTGTCTTCCTCCTCTTCCTCAGCAGCTCCATCCTCCTCTGCTTCCTCTTTATCAGCATCATCCTCTTCTTCCTGTTCCTCCTCCTCCTCAGCAGCCTCTGCCTCCTCTTCTTCCTCAGTCTCATCCCCATCATCTGATTCTTCTTCCTCCACTGCTCCTTGTTCCTCTTCTTCCCCAGCATCATTATTACCCTCAGTGTTTTTGCCTGTTTCTTCCACATCCTCCTCAGCATTTCTGGTCTGAAGGTCTGCCTCTGTGTCAGCCATGTTCTGAGCACTCGCTGCACCAGAGAGTAGGATCTGAGGTGGGCACAGGCTCACCAGAAGCAGCCCCACTACCCAGCCATTCACAGGTGCCATTCTGAAAGGCTTACACAGCTCTTGTAAGGTACAAATCCACACTGGAAAAGTCTCTACTCCACCAAAACCAAAACAATCAGTGGGCTTTTGAAACCTAAGAACCAGTTAATCCACAGAAGAAGGTGATGAAGCAGCAGGTGATTCAGGGATATTCTTTAAGTCTTTGCTCCAGGCTATGGAGCGACGGGCCGTGTTCACAAGACTGACAGAGTAGTGTGCCAGCCTTGTGCTGGGAATAGAGGACACAGTGGAAACACAACTGAGTGTGTGGTGTAGTTGTGTGACTGCATGTGCGTGACTGACAGAGGCACATGTCTAGGAAGAATGTTCCTGATGCCCTTAACGCAGTGTACAGGAGGGTGGAGAAATATGAGGTCAGAGAACATGCGGAAATGAGACTTTTCATGAATAACATGAGTAAAATTTCCTTTTACACTCACGGGCCACTTTATTAGGTACACCTGTACAATTGTGCAGCACTTTCGCCTTAACATTTGTGTGTATGAAGCTCAAAATGTTTCAGTTTTTGGTGAAATTATCATAAATGTATAAATTCAATTATGTGTTTATTATTGAGGTCATAGTGGTGTTGTACTGGACTACATTATATTCAGAGGTGTTCCTAATATTCCGACCCTCTCATTATGTAGCTGGGGAGGACAAAAATATAGAAACACCTCTAAATATAATGCAGCAAGACAGTGATGTATGTCAGTGTGAGCCTCTGGTGCAACTGACAGGTGGCCCAGCTGGTTGTTTACAGTAAAGGCTCCTTCAACAGCCCTGCTCCACTGTGTAACCTTTAGCAGAGCTCTGATATACTGAAACTCAGCGCCACCACCACGCAGCTTTCACACTGTCCATATCTGCTTCTCTCTACAGTATATGCACCTACTGTACCTCTCTTCCATGATTTAGTCACACTAGTCCTTGCTGATTTTCTTATTAATTTTCATTATTTGACCTTGCTCAGTTTTATTAATTTCTTTGTGCAGCTCTCTGGCCAGAAACAAGTCACAACATCTTGCTTTGGCATTGTTTTTTCCTCCAGGGAGCATTAACTCTTGACACCATGACTCCATTTATCTTTTTTTCCCCATGCCTGCTAGGTTAAAAAATAAAGACCCGACATTCTCATTATTTATTATTAAAGGAATAGTTTAACATTTTGGAAAATACTCTATTTTCTTGCAGAGAGTTTGGTGAGAAGATCGATACCACTCGCAAGGGGTTGGGGCCATCAGCTGGTTAACAAAGCTTGGCATAAAGACTGGCCACAGGGAAAAACAGCTATCCTAGCTATGTCCACATACAACCAACTCTAAAGCTCACTAATTAGCATATTATATCTCAAGCCAAGCTAGCTGTTGCTTGTTATTTCCAGGTTTTATGCTAGGCTACCCATCTGCTGACTCATTAAAGTGGTATCAATCTTTTCATTTGACACACCCAAAATGTCACACCAGTATTGTGAGACTACGAGCTCATTAATGATACTTTACGTACAAGTTATTGAACAGAAAAAAAAAATAGAGCAACACAAATACAGGATTTAGTCTAACTGAATGTAATCAACCATTTAGTCAGAGTGTAAGTGAACATATAAAGTATCAACATGTTACATATTATAGTATCCATATACAAGTACAACACACCGAAAAACATACACACACACTGTATATGTGTATATATATATACACACACACACACACACACACACACACACACACACACACACACAATTCCAGGCATCAGCTTAAAACTACAGCAATAAAGTCATAATATCACTGCCAATAAAAGATATCATGCCAGATCATCAATATATACACTACTCTTTGGCATTAGAATAAGACAGATTGCCCTCTTAAAACAGTCTTTTCATGTATTCAATACTGTAACAAGTAGTGATGGCTGCATTTCCCTCTTTAGTTTAGAATTATAAAAACCTTGTGGTAACTGAGTCCAGTGATCAGCATGGCTCCAAAACAGTAAGACTGGTAGGTGATAAAAGAGCTACATCACTGTCATTTACTGACCCTAAACTGGTGAAGGCATCACCAAGGCTGAATCAGGTGGAAGTGGAAGAAGACGTGAGCCCATCTATGTAGGAGAAGAAGTACAATAAGGTGTGGGGTTTTTCAGTTAGGTGAAGATACATGGATGTTCAAAGACTTCTCTCTTCGGAAGTACCTCTAGATGTAGGTGGAGGCCGAGGAGGTTTGAATGTGCTACCTTGAGCCAGAGTATCCACAATCCAGCTGAGAGCGTTTGAGCAATACTCCATCTGAGAAGCAAACATTACGTCTAAACTGTATGTTAAGGTAGCTGAGGGAAAGATTATTATTTTGGGAATACAATGCATTAGGTCAGGGTTATATGTTGGTAATTCACATTGTAGAATTTTGTGGTTGAGATTCATGCTTCAAGCAGATAACTCCTAAAATACCCGAGAATGCAGTTGAAAACGAGCTGAAGAATATCATGCAGCCCCACTTCAACATTATCTTAAAGGAACAGTTAGATGGGACAAGTGAAACCACTCTCAACCATGCCCATTAAATATAAAGATAATACAAGAAGCCTGCTGATTCTGAGGTGTTGATTCAATTGTGGATCATTTTGGAGGCCGTAGTTTGTGCTGCTGCTGAACTGTACTGCATTGTACAGAAGGGCATTTCTGTTTTTTAGCTTAGCCTTAACAATGTAAATGGGGTAGACAAAATAGTAAAAACACTCGTCCGTATTGCAATACAATTCAAAGCACCTCTCTAAAACAGTTTAAACAAATACTGCATGTCATCAAGGTTTATTGTAGGACTGTTGTATTGGACTGCATCAGCATTTTGCTAGACGTACCTAATAAACTGTCAGCAGTGTCATTCAGTCCTGCTATATGTAGAATAATGATGTGAACTCAGTTAAATGCTTTAAAAAGAGGGCTTAATTTTACCTCTGTCTCCAGAGCCCTCAGCCTGTGGTCAAAGTCTCTGCTTTCATTCAGATGTTTAAGCGCAGTGTCCACTCTAAAACAGGAGACATTCATCTTAGTATGATGGAGCCCAACATAAGTAAGTAATTTCACTGCTACAGTGGAAGGCATGCTCACTTTACAGACATCCGTTTGAGCCTCTCTGAATCACAGTTTTTTTGGATCGTGTTTTGTGCAGTTAGAAAGTCCTCTTTTTGAATGGATTCCCATGTCACCAGCCTGTTGGCTGCTTTCCCTTCTACCTGTAATACTAACAGAAATGGGAAAGGTTTTTAATCAGCTTTAGTATCAGAGGACAGCAATTTCCTATCATTCTGCCAATCAGAAAAACTGAACTGACTGAGAAGGGTAACTAAAACATAAAATATCACACTGATAAGACACTTTCACTCCACATTTAATGTGCATGGGGCAATACATTTATTACACTAATTAGACTCACATTAGACTCCTGCTCAGATACTTACCAAAGTGGTGGATCTTGATCGAGGGCACCTTGCGTATGATCCTCTTGATAAAGAGATTCAGGTGAGAGAGGATGATAAAAGGAGGTGCCAGGGCAGGACGGGAGTGGTACTGAACAATCAGGTTGTAGCGCTGGAACTTCCAGTAGATGTCGCTGTTCGCCTGCACTTTAGAGAAAGTGTCGCTGTGTGGACACAACGAAGGCAGTGTTGTGGTGAACTGAGAATCCTTTACAGAGATCAGTATGTTGGTGTTGCTACAGAGACTAATCGCCTTGTTCTTTACCTAAACATGGCGATAAGCACATTGATCAGCAGGATATTGGTGGCCAGCAGATAAATAACAAGCAGATTTACTACCAGCCAGTTATTAGATTCAGTTCTGCACGGCTCTGCACCATCCTTAATCAATGTCCTGTTGTCTGTGCAGATCTTGTCCCATTGGTGTCCCACTGATATGGTCACAAAATACAGGAAATATTAAAAAAATAAAAATATATATAAATATATATTTATTTATTTATTTATTTATTTTTAAATATAAGTTTTAAATAATATGGTGAACTTTAAACCTATGCAACAAATGTGGAAAAACATCCAGTACAAGCTGCAGAACAATACAGTTGCCTTACACTGGTTTGAAAGTGTAATAACATTTTTCCCTTTTACAAGACAATTTATCATGTGCACACAAATGCTTATACCATCCATTTCTTCCACCGGGATCTGTCCATAGATGTGCAAGTATGGCCTGTAAAAAACCCGGCGCAAGATGCGGTCTAGGCGAGGGTCATAGGGGTAAAGCAAAGCCTGATTGGCTACTCCATAGGCCACGAGCCACACCCCCAGGGAAAAGAGGAAGAAGAA